TGCTTGATTTAATGTTACACAATCTTTTGAGATTGATGCTTGCACTTGAGTAGCTTTACATAGTCTTGTGATTACTTATATTTTGTTCTTGGCTATGGCACATGAGGGAAGAGTTTTAACTGTCACACATGATCAACACTTGCACCAATTAGTGAAATAAACTGAGGACTTTAGTCTAAGACTTACTAAATTGAGCTAGTTAGGTTAATTGGCTTAGGATAGTTGTTTTAGGCTAATACAATTTGGTCAAGGGAAAGAAGAGAGCACTAATTGGCTTATTTCATCAAGAAGATAAGGATTCTAATATCAATCAATCTCTAGAGTTCCAACTCTTTGAAAGGAAATTTTCAATCTACTCACTTTAGGCAAGAATTTAGTTATTTATTTAGTAGTTTTAGATAAATCATTCCCAACACTTGATTTCATTTATTCACTAATTGACCTTATAATTAAAGATTAGCCACTCACTAGGGTGATGACCTAGGTTGATCCTCTACTACATTTAGGTTTGGTTTTAGTTATTATTTTGAGAGGTAAGCGACTACCCTTATCAATATTTGAACAATTTCATGCTTCCGAACAATAGTTATACTAAACATAGTATTTATATACATTTCATTCCACTTGGTAATTAATTTTCCAAACACTATAATATACTTTCTAAACATAATTTAATTTGCTAACACCATAAAATCACACATGATCACACACACCCATCACACATTAATAATGGTTACATTTGCTTCTTGCTATTAGAGCTCCCCGAACAAGCATACTATCACCATCAACAGTGTCAACATCATAATCTACATACAACATGACACTAATTATTGTTAATATAATGCTAATATAGCTAATCAAAGTCAACACACTAATCACACCTTAGGGTTAGGTTAATTAACCATATTAACCTAAACTCTTACACACACTTAAATCATCCACTTAGTCCTATTAATCATTATTATACATCTAAATCATGAATTAAATCTCTACAACATCAACACACTATCAATAATTATTCAATCAAGCTTAAGGGTTTAGATTCAACACACCTATTGCCATAAATAACATTAAAACAATTTAAATTACACTTATTTAACCTTATAACACTCTTAAGACTCATAACCAAGGGTTAGAGTTACTCTAACTACAAAACCCTAGTCTAAAGACCCAATAAAAAAAATGCTTAGAAATGTAGATAAGGGATAGGAGAGTGATTAATGAGCTTACCTTAAGGATTTAATGCTCCAAAACATGTCCAAGGAATCCTTTAACCAAAACCCTAGCAAAACTTAATATTTTCACACATCTAACTTCTATTTTCTCCTCCTCTTCTGTTTGGTCACTCAACAGAATGTTGAATTTAAAATTCTAGCTATAAGTCACGATACATGGCACAAATCTAGCCACCTTACTTAAGCCCATAATAATTGAGCCAGATTTGGCCCAATACTTGTTTTGGACCCCATTTAACCTTAATATATCATCTTAGGCCAATTTGAGACATATTTTAATGCCTAAACATATCATTAACCTAAGATACAAATTTGGCCTCCAATCAAACCTTAAAATAATATCAACCTAAATTTTATATCCTCAATCAAACCTCAATTTCTACAATTAATTTATTTCGTATCTAAAAATCAAGATATTACATAATACAACATTACTTACACATACAAGCCATACATATGTCCATTTATCAATCAATATCATTTATGATCACATAACTTGGTTACAAACTCATTTAATTAAATATGTACATCTATATAATGTTATTGTTTCAAGACTTCTTTTCCATTTCTCATAGATTTTCAAAACCAAACAGACCCACACCCACACACAAACATTTACATACATATGAAAATACCATTTTATTTCTCAAATATTCATAAACAATCTAATATGCAAGTAGACAAAAGAGATTATCCGATTATCTCAACTCTTTTGTTACCTTAGGGTTACTCATGAATTTATACTATCTCTTTGAGCTTCTTCCTTGCTCAAAGAGGCCCAAACAACTTTAATCTACATATACCAATATGTCAATCACTCCCCCAAACATAAATATCCATAGTCAAACCTAACCCACACTTCTCATCTTTAACATAACCTAAGCCTTATTATCCAACCACTAGCTCCATTTAACTTCCAATAGATTGGATTATACCATTCATTGGCCCATATTGCACCTAATCTTCCAATTTTGGGCTAGGCTTCATCCAAACCCAACCACAAAACTATATAAAATCACAAAACCTAGGTATGAAACTTTAAATTAACTCTCAATAACTCCATTTAAGCCATTAGGTTTAGACCAAGCCCTAGAAAGGGATGAAAACATCACTTCCTTCTCCAAAATCAACAACCAAAGAGTAGAGGGAGAGGAAAATGAAGAACAAGATTTACCTTAGTGAATATTAGCTTAAATAACTTCCCAACAAGCCCTAGCACATCCACCATCTTCTCTCTCACATTAATTGGTTTAACTAAATTATGCACTGTCCACCACGATGCATGGTGTGTTCATTACGGCGGATGGTACAAAGGCCTAATATATTGTTTTTATCCTCCATTTGGACTTGGTTGGCCCAATAACCATCCTAACCCATTTGAAAGCTGTCTAAACAACCCAAAAATTAAATTAGAAATATGAAAACATAGTTAACTTAATTAATTCATCATACACTAATTTCCCTTATTTAGTTCATAATTTTCAGATTAAAAATTTGGGATGTTACACCTTACCAGTCTAGCTTTATGTAGGATATAAGTATCATTGACAACATCTTTATAGCCTAAGAAGTCACGCGTTCAATGAGGAAAAATAGGAAAAATGGATTGGATGGCCATTAAATTTGATTTAGAAAAGGCTTTTAATAAGCTATGGTGGGATTTTATTGAGGGCACCTTGAAGGATGTCGGGCTTCACCCCAATATGATTAATCTCACCATAAAATGCATTACCATTCCTATATAAAGGTATTATGGAATGGCAAGCCATTCTTTTCATTTTCACCAATGAGAGGAATTAGACAAGGGGACCTATTGTTTTCACATGTTTTTGTTTTATGTATAGGGTGTCTCTCTTGAGCAATTACTGTTGAGGTTCATCAACATAGTTGGCATACTATCAAACTAGGGTGTAAGGGCATTCCTCTCTCCCACTTATTTTTTCCTGATGATCTAATACTTTTCAGTGATACTTCAGCCTCCCACGGTGATGTTGTCAAGAGAGTGTCACATCAATTTTGTCTGTCTTCTAGGCAAGCCATTCGCCACTCAAAAACCCAATTTTACTTTTCAAAGAATGTTTCTGTGTCAACGTGTAACGCTATTTGCTAGAATCTGCTGTTTCAACGCTCTGAGTCTCTTGGTTGGTACCTCGGGGTGCCATTAATCAATAGGAGAGTTACCACCAATACATACAATTATAGTGTTGAGAGGTCGCATCAAAAGTTAGGTGGGTGGAAATCCATATCCCTTTCCTTAGCTGGTCGTATTACTCTTGTCAAGTTCCAAGTAGTAAAACAATTGAGAAACTCATCGAGAAACTGATATGGGGTTAATCGGAAGAGCATCGTGGCATAAGCTTGATAAGTTGGAAGGATCTTTGTTAACCTCTCAAGCATGAAGGTTGTGGAATTATTAATCTTGAAGCTCAAAAAAACACCTTATCGAAGCTTGTTTATATTAAAATTGTTACTGAGCCTGATCTTTTATGGGTGCGTCTACTCAAGGCCAAGTACCAGCTACAAGATGCCACCAGTCATGACATTGGTAAAAACCATTTATTTCTGGCGAAGCATTTCAAAGCTCTGGCAACACACATTGATGCATGTCCAATGGAAGCCAGGTAATGGTAATAATATTAAATTTTGGTCTGATTTCTTGGTAGGTGATTTTGGTCCTCTAAAACTTCCATACTTTTCTAAAATCAATGAATCTAATCTGCTTATTTAATTATTCTGGTTTTAAGGTAGACATGGCATTAATTCTAGGTCGTTGTGGGGTTATTACAATCACTAATAACTAAGAGGGACAATGATACATGATATTTACGGAGATGGAGGGAATTATGAAGACGTGGAGTTATAGAGATCGATAACACTCAATTCCGTTTCATTTCTTCTCTAATTTATTAATCATATCCAAATTAAACTGGATTTCCCTCATGCTTTTTACTTGTGATAAATAAGGTTATTTTCTCTAGTCATGTTTTATCTCACTCCCTAAAAATATCCAAATACACACAGAAGTATAGGAGGATAAAATTTGTTAACAACCTAGTGTTTTTAAAACTAGGTAATTTGAAATTATATTTATAACCTAAATTAATTAGGTCATTATTAGTAATCTCTCTAATTAAGGGCTTCTATGGAGGTTGCAGAGTTAATGGTCCATAATATAAGACATTTTTTAAAAATCTTGACCTTGAGAAGTTCTTGTAATTTTTTTTAATTATGCCTTACTTCATTTTTTTTTTGAAAAAATAGTCAATTAAAATTTTAATTGTCATTATCAATGTGCTTATATAAAGTATTTAAAGGAGATCGACAACACATATAGGGAGTGCTTTGATCGATATGATTATTTTGAATTTTTGGAGAGAAATGTGCCTTAATAGTTTTTAAATATTCATAAAATTCAATGATTGTAATTAAGATACTCATTAAGTAAATAAACTTAAGTCACTCATTGAATCTAAATCTAACAATATACAAATGTCCAATGTTGTGGACTAGAGTGTAATAGGGAGAAGGGACTGGGATGAGTTTCAATGCTCATTACTCGCATGAGATTTAGACACTGTAAATTTATAACTTTTATCTTATATATATTTTTTTTAAAATCATTGAAAATTATAGAAGGTTTCAATATTATAGATTTTCACTGTTCAAAATAAATCTGAACAATGAATTCATAAAATAAAATTTTTTAATTTTAATATTAAATTTTAAACTATCCGAACTCAACGTAACTTAGTCAAGTTAGTGATAATTAAGCACTATCCTGGTAGCAGCTAACTAGTAATATTTGTGATGAAGGCGGGGGTTTCTACAAAGAGCAACATGGAGACGCCACGCGTCAAGGAGGAGTGAGGGAGGAAGGAGGCCAAGTAACATTGAAGAGAGTGAGGCCAGTAAGGGCTACACTCTGCTTCGTAGCCTATGCTCCTTATTCCGGCCTCCGCGTATTTCTCTGCCGACGCTATCCATAACGACGGCTTCTCTATCGCCGCCACTCTCGCCACCATCTTCGTCGCCACATACAGTGGCACCTGACATTGCACGTGGATCCCATAATGTCCATACTCCACGTGTAGACACTTCGAGAATTGTCTCACGTACCTGCATGCACATGCATGATTCAATGCTCACCTTCAGATTAGGCTTACACGTACTTGCATATTTAGAGTATGATTTTGAAGCTTCACTACCATCAACAAAGCAAAAGCCTCGTATCAGGTTCTTGATTTCTTTCCCACGTGCTCATAAATTAAATCACCAAAACTAGTAACTCGCTCTCTTGAAGCACGTTCGGACTTCAGGTGCCTGTTGTTGTTTAATTTCTTTATTGTATTCTTTCTGTTAAAATATATGAGATATTTTTAACTGAATTTAAAATTAGTTAATTATTTTTTAAACTAATGCTATATTTTTTTAAACAAATAAATATAAAATAATTAATTTATTAAGGATATTTTTGAAAAATATATATTTATTATACCTTAAAATACTAAAAAAGTCTTATTTTTTTAACATACAATTCTTTAAAAAATACTTTATATTTTTTAAAAGGAGAAATGATAGATTTGGATTGCCTACATTAGAGAACAAAAACTAATTTATCAACAGTCAAAATAGATATGAATTTTTTTTGAATAATAATAAACTAATTAATCTGCTAGCTAGTTAGAATATCAACTAAACGTTGCTGATTTATTATCATCACAAGAGTTGGTTGTTCCTGATGGCATTCCAAAGCTAAACAATCCATCAAAATCTATATATTTATATTTATTTTGTTTGTGCATGCTTAAACACAAGTTAATTTTAATTTTTAATTCCCACAGTTAATGTTTGTGACAAAATTGAAATCATTTTAAAGTACATATTTAAAAAATGTAATATATATACATACATACATACATACATACATAGTAGAAAGAATCACGTCTAAGAATCTGATATGAAAAATTTATTCATAAACAATAATTAATAACAAATCTCATTTATAAAAATTAAGTTCATATTTTTATTTCAATAACAATTCATTTAATATTAGTTGTTATCTATAAACAATTTTTTTGTCAAGTCGTAGGATGTGATTCTTCCTCTATAAGGTGTGTATGTATAATGCTATTCATTGAATGTGATCGATGACAAAGACTGCACCAAAAAATCAAATTACTTTTGCAGGTCGAAAATATTCTTTGAGTAGGGAGAGTGTAATTAGTAGGGACGTGATTCTCCCCATGCAGTGAATATGTGCGTGTGTATAATGCTATTCATAAATGTGAATGTGACAGATGCAAACACTGCACCAAAAAATCATTTTACTTTTGCAGTTCTAAAATTTTCTTTTGGAAGAAAAAATTATAGGTTATCCAAACCCATCATAAATATAGTACTAATATTAATGATCAAACTCGTTGGTTGGATAAAAGAAATAATTAATACAACCTTTTTTTTGGCCAAATAATACAACCTTAGTTTAATTTAATATATAGATATTTTAGTCTAGTTCTTTTATTTAAAAACACAATTACTTTCTACAAATTATAATATAAGATATTTTTTAAAAAATTTATTTAGTTTAAAATATAAGATATTGAATTACTTTTACATTTTTTCTCAATTATACACCCCAACTTCATTTATTATGTTTTTTAAAAAATCATGCACTCACATTTTAATTACTATTATCAAATCTTATATAAAATATTTAATAAAAGTATAAATAAAAATATATTAATAATTTTAAGAATGTAAAGTTTCAAATAATTTTATTCATAATCATGAATTAGTTATGTATGAATCATATAATGTGATCCGAGTATTATAATTAACTAAATTAACTTAATTTTCTTAAGTTGCGTGAGTTTACCTGTGGCGTTGATTTCAATGCTATAATCCATGTATCCATTTGCAGTGTAAATGCTATAAATGGAAAAGAAGTGAAGACGAAGAAAGATCGAGAAGGAGCTTCTTACGCCTTTGTAGCTGCATAAATGGCGTAAAGAGGATGCGAAGGCACAACGATCCCAGCTCCGGACCCAATGTTGACGACGGCGCCTCTTCTTCTCTTTATCATTCCCTCCACAACCGCCTTCGTCACCGCCGTAGTTGCCTCCACGTTCACCTTCACGATCCTCATCCACACTTCCTCCTTCACCTCGTGAAAATACATCGCTTCTGGATACGTAATCCCGACGTTGTTCACCAAAATCCCTAGATCTGCCACACCCTCGATCGCCGCCTTCAGTCGCTTAATTCCTCCGGCAGTGTCGCCGGCCAAGTCGATCTCCACGGTTCTGATGTTGCAGTTCGGGAATTCGGCTCGGATTTCGTCCGAGATTGTTCGGAGCTTGTCAGAGCTCCGACTGACTAGGACCAAGTTCAGGCCACGGCGGGCGAGCCCATAGGCGAAGGCTTCCCCGATGCCGTCAGTGGCTCCGGTGACGAGAGCCCAGGAGCCGTAGCTTTTGATGAGGTCCTTTTCAGATCGGAGGAATGTGCGGAAGATCCATCTGAGAAAGGACAGAGATTGCTTCAGAACGACGCAGAAGCCGAGGCAGATGGTGATGGTGAGAAGAAGCCATTGAAAGAGATCGCTGCATGCAAGGACACGTAGCCCCATTTTCTTCTGTGTAAGGATGGGAGGTTGAAGAAGAATACATAGAGAGAGAGTATATTACAACAACTCAGATCAAACTGCGCAACATACATATCTCACATGTACTTGCTGAAGGATGTGTGTGTGTATATATGTATATGCAACACTGAACACCTGAGAACAAGTTTGGAATAGCATTTATTGGAAGTGGCTTTTACAGTTCCGAATTAGTTAAGAAGATGCATAGGGCTTTGGCTAAAATTCAGAGACCTGGTACAGTGGCACACAGGCACTCATTACACTATGGATTCGGATCCTCTGCTTCACGGGTTTTGCAGTGAGAACTAAATCAAAACCTAACTTTTGGTGGCGAATAAAGTAGAGATGGAGATGGCGGCTCATGAGCCATTGATGATTTCTAGTTAATATGGCAATCTAGTACATTGTTGACAAACCATTCGCAAAACTTCTAGAATTCACAAAATAATAAGAGTTTTTTTCTTGTGTCTCTGATCAAAAGCTTTCTTTCTTAATTAAGAGATGGGGTTTGATGAAAGATGAGTAGTTTAAGCTTTTGTATTTGTCACCGCAACATTTTTGTCTTATAATATCAGTTGATAATCATAACCAAAGGCATCACAACTGGTGCGAAAAACTAAAGGCAACATTTTTAAACTTATTTAATGTTAACTTATTATAAAAGGTAACAGTTTTTGCACTCTATTTGTCATACATTTTAAAAATTGTTGCCTATATTTTAGAAAGAAGCAACACTTCTTACATCAATTTATTGCAATAGTTCTAGAATGTTGCATATCATATTTTATAGGCAACAGTTAAAAACCGTTGTCTATATGTAAAATACGAAAAATTTAAAATTTCCCTCCATAATTAATATTCAAGCCCCAACTTCAAGAAATTAAGGAATAACTCTTACCACTTTTCAAAGCCATTGTCAAGTCATCTAATGCAAATTATTTTATATATAGATGATTTTTAAAGTTATTATTTAATTCAACTAATTAATAATTTAATAAATCAATCAATTAATTATTTAATTAATAAAAGTAAAAAAACTATATTAAAAAGTTTAAAAGTAAATTGTTTTTATGTATAAAAACACAATACGCACCAGTTATCAAATGTTTCAAAAGAAACATTTAAATGCAACATTTATGCAATTGTTGTCTATTGAAAAAAGGGAACAGTTTTCAAATGTCATGAAAAAGATAATTTTATAAGCAACAGTTCTAATTTTATTCAAAGAAAATTATTTTAATCCAACATATATAATTTAACTATCAATTAGTGGTTGGATGGATGAAAATAAAAATTTAAAAATAGAAAGAATATTTGTATTTTGCATCTATTAATTTTAAAAGATGTTTGTATAGATTTTAAAAACACAAAAGAAGTATCTACAATATAATCAAGATAAAATAGAGAAAGGACAACATATTTTATTTTAAATTATAAATACTCTAAAATACTAGCCTTGTATATTTAATTAAATCAAATTAAATATATAAGACTAATACTGAAGAGAGGGAGTAATGAAGATAAGACGGAAGGGAGTATATAAAGCACACAATCAGTCGGTGGAGTGTTCATCTCAATGAGGTATTCATTGAAGGAGGTGGGGCTTCCATTCTGTTTGGGGCAATTTTTTTTTTTTAGGGTTAAATTGTACTCTAAAATTCTCCCACCTTTTGATATGAAAGGTATCTTTTCTATAATTATTTTTCATTAATTAGTTCATTATGAGATAGCCATGTGACAACAACGAACCCAAAACCAACCGGTTAACTTCACCCACCTTTAACAGCCCTCACAAAGTGCAACTAATTTTTTTTCAAAATTTTCGGTTAGATATCCAAAAAGCTAATACATGATGAATTTGACATATACTCTTCCAAACATAATACAAACCATATTCTCTTTTAATTTTATTTATAAATCACTTTTAACATATTTTATCGAGATTAAAAAAAATCTTAAATCTTATTAACTCTATTTTAAAATTTAATAAGTTTTCACCTTTATCACCTAATAAAAACAAAAGAACTATTTTTAATAATTTTTCCTAACATTTAATAAAAGGTCAAGGTCCAATTTTGCCTATGTCTTTATTTTTTAAGAGTATTGGACACCCTAAACTCTTAACTGAAATAATTTTATTTTTGAACTATTTTTTCAAAGAGCAAAAAACTCCTTTGTTAGTCAACTGTTAATTTTTTTCATTTTCTACTTACGTTGTTATGTGCACTAGGCCCACGCACAATGACATGTAAAATTTTAATTATGTTTACCCTTAAACTCTTTTTATAAGAGTGTTAAACATTTTAATTTTTTCTAAGAATATTGGATACCTTGAAGTCATGTTAAATTAAAATTTAATAAATACTGTTAAAATATTATGTATTTTAATATTTAATAATTTAAATATTATTATTTAAAACATTACACCACCCAATTTAATATTTTATTATTTTTAATATTTTATAATTTTGTATTAAAAATAAAGGAAATCAACCTTTAAATTAATGAAGGAATTTTTTTCTTATCTCTCCATTTTTCTCTTGTTAAGTAATTTTTTTGTTGTATATTAATGAAATAAGTGATATCTTTCATATAAATATTTTTGTTAGCATATTGTTGATCCTGATTTGTTATATTTTTGATTTTACTCCTAACATTGCAACAGACATAAAGTATTAAATTTAGATAATGTAATATTTTGGGAGGAAGAGGTTAGTTGACAAAAAAATTACAAAAAATGACATAAAAATTTAAAAAACTTAACCAATATTAAAAATATAGTTTTGATACGCACAAAAGGTATAACTATTTGGACACTGTCTCAAAAAAAGATTAAAGATTGATATATAAAAAAATCATCTATAAATTTATAAAATTCTAGTTTGAGTTGTTAATATTTTAAAAGTAAATTTTAAATGAATATTTATAAATAATAATATTTAAATTATTAAATATGTTAATATTTTGGTAATACTTGATTAAATTTTATTTTAATAAAACTTCAAGATACATAGTATTCCTAAAAAAAGACTTTAAAGCATCCAATGCTTTTAGAAAAAGAGTTTAGAGACAAATTAACATCAAAAGGCATGGTTAGAGTAGTGCGCGGGTCCCACGCACATGCCATATCAGCAAAAAATAACAAAGTTAATGGCCTCCAAATAGAAGGACATTTTTGGACCTAAAAAAAAAAATACTTCCAAAAGAAAATTGCCCTACTTAATAGTATAGAGTGCCCAGCGTTCCTAACAAATAAGTACATAAATAAAATTAGACTTTAATCCTTTAATAAAGGTAGAAAGGTAAAAATAGATATAGAAAATAGTGAAATATTGTATAAATAAGATCAAAATTAATCTTTTCTTTCTACCGTATAAATAAGACCAGAGGATTAGTTAATTAATTTACAATTTATGAACAATATTAGCTAAACTTTAAATTATTTAAAATGTCTATAGCTTTGCATTTATACTTTCATTAAATATCCTATATAAAAGCATTGATAATAATAATTAAAATTTAATGCATTATTTTTTCAAAAAAAGTAACAAATGAAGTAAAAATATAGTTAAAAAAATAAATATAAAAGTTATCAAATACCTTATATTTTGAACCAAATAAATTTTTTTAAAAATATTTTATATTGTAATTTGGAGAAAGTACCTATAAAATGTGAAATATTTATTGAAAAACTAAAGAGCAAAAAAATTCCAAAATTCTTTTCTAAAGAATAATCCCTCCTTTAAAAAAACATAAGACATTTTTAATCCAATTCTACCTTCATAAAATAGTTATTTATCTTTAAATTAACTTTATTTTTTCATATTTGTCTCCATTTAATAGGGTGTTTCACTCTAAAAAACTATAAAAATACTCTATTCAATAGGAGCAATCTTTTTTAAAAAAGATAATAATTATGTTTTAAAAAATTAAAAATATTTTTTATTTTTAATATTTAATTTTTTAAAAAATATTTTACATTTTTAAGACCTATTTAATTGGAGAGGAACGGAGAGGAGGCCTTTTGCAATCTCCCCTTAAATTAAAAGGTTTTTTTTCCTCCTTTCTTTCTCTTTGCTTCCTTTCCCTCCCGTTCAATCGAACGAAGGGAGGGAATATATGATATTCAAAACTTTTTTTTCAAAAACCATATCATCCGGAACTTTCTAATGCTGCCGTTAATTTTGGCAATGACTGTCACTTCACCGTTAACTCGACTCTAATAACCAGTGACTGCCACGTGTCATTTTAAAAAATTGAAAAATATAGATTTACACGTCCAGGCTTCTCTCTCCCTCTCCACACTTCTCCAACTCTCCCTTCTCCATTTGCTTCGTCTTCACCGATATGGAGAACAATAAGAATGGCCTCCACTCTAAGCTCGCCGGTAAAGTTGGTTGCTGGTCCAAACAGCTCTTGGCTTAATTTTGACTTTGATTTCTCTCAATCCTCCTCCTTAGCCCATTCACGTTCTCTTCGAAATTGAGTGCAGAGCACGGCACCTCATTCCTTCATCCATACCAATCCGAGGCTTCGAAGCTAAATAGGTCACTGGTGGTAATCAACATGTTTCAGGGTCCTCTGTGTGTATTTAATTCCTCTAATAAATGGCTTCCGATATGCAAGTTTTCATCTACGAAGAAGCAGCAAAGCACAGTCATATCAAGTTATCATATCTGGGGTGAAGAGTTCGATAGGTGTGCAGAGGGAGAGAAAGGTGACCGTCAAAATCTTCTTTCTTTCTTTTTTTTTTAAATGACACGTGGTAGCCACCAAGCACTTTGAGTTCAATTAGTGGTTGGCTAACGGTCAAGACTAACGGCAACATATTTTTTTTTTTTTTGAAAATTTCAGGATAATATTATTTCAGCAAAAATTTAAGATAAAATAATTTTAAGACATTTTTACCATTTAATCCTTAACTGAAATATGACTTAAGTGTATCCAATCATGAGAGAGGCACACATTAAAGATTTGGTTTTTGTTTTTGAAAACAAAAAAATTAAAAAACTTACTTAGATAAGTATTTTAAATCTAATTGTTTCCAAAATTATTCTTATTTTTTTAAAAAAAGAATGGAAACATCTTTAAATTGCTTTTATTTTATTTTT